GCCTCACCCAGTCCCCGCAGCATCCAGCCTCAGTCCCCCAGTCCCCTAAGCCCCATCTCATCCAGCCAAAGTCCCCCAGTCCTCTCAGCCCCGCAGGGGAGAGCAGTTGGGGACCATCATGCCGGCAGGGGAGCAGTTAGGCATCAATCAGGCCGGCAGGAGAGCGGTTAGGGGGCTATCAGGCAGGCAGGCGAGTGGTTAGGAGCCAGCAGTCCTGGATTGTGAGAGGGAGTCCAATTGCCTGTTTAGGCCCGATCCCTGTGGGATCGTGCACAAATTTCATGCACTGAAATCTATAGTAGGATAGGATTTATATATATATATATATATATATATATATATATATATATATATATAGAGAGAGAGAGAGAGAGAGAGAGAGAGAGAGAGAGAGAGAGAGGTAAGAGGAGGTTCACTATAGGAATTGGCTAATGTGGCTGTGGAGGCCAAGAAGTCCCACAGCCTGCAAGCTGGAGTGCCAGGAAAGCTGCTGGTGTAAACCTGCCTACGTCCAGAGGCCTGAGAATGGGGGTGGACAGCGATGACGTACGTCCCCATCTGAGTCAGAATCCTCAATATCCGAGGGCATGAAAAGATGAATGGATTCAGCTACAGTTGAGAGAGCAAATTCACTCTTCCTCCGCCTCTATATTCTAGTCAGGCCCTCAACTGATTGGAGATGCCCACCTCATGGGGGAGGGCCTTCTTCTTTACTCAGTCTGCTAGTTCCAGTGCTGATCTCTTCCAGAGACACCCTCACAGACACACCCAGAATTATGTGTTTTAAACCAAGGATCTAGGCACCCCTTATCCAATCAAGTTGATACATAAATGAACCATCACAGTAGGCGCACTCAGACTCTGGGAAACTGAATGGACTCCCCTTACAAACACTGCCCAAGGGTCAGAGACTCAACCAACCTGAAATTCAGTCCTCCTATTCTTGTGTAATAAATACAGAAATTTTATGCACAGAAAGGTAAGAAGATTTTTTTAAATTTTTTTTTAAATTAGAGCTTTAATACTGTGATAGAACTGGAGTTTTGTTTTTTTTTTAATATATATTTTATTGATTTTTTACAGAGAAGAAGGGAGAGGGATAGAGAGTCAGAAACGTCGATGAGAGAGAAACATCGATCAGCTGCCTCCTGCACGCCCCCCAGTGAGGATGTGCCCACAACCAAGGTACATGCCCTTGACCGGAATCGAACCCGGGACCCTTGAGTCCACAGGCCGACGCTCTATCCACTGAGCCAAACCGGTTCAGCAGAAGATATTTTTTAAAGTATATTTTTATTGCTTTCAGAGAGAAAGGGAGAGAGATAGAAACACCAATGAAGAGAGAGACTCACTGATCAGCTGCTCCTGCACCCTCCTCCCTCCCCCGCCACACCCTCAGCTGCTAGGGATGGAGCCCACAACCCGGGCATGTGCCCTGACCAGGAATCAAACTGTGACCTCCTGGTCATGGATCAGTGCTCAACTACTGAGCCACACCAGCTGGGCTTAATCCCCTCTTCTGGTAAGCACACAGAAAGATATCTCCTTACTGCCCGGCCGGCGTGTCTCAGTGGTTGAGCACTGACCTGTGAACTAGGAGGTCACGGTTTGATTCCTGGCCAGGGCACATAACAGGGTTGCAGGCTCGATCCCCAGTGGGGGGTGTGCAGGAGGCATCTGATTAGTGAGTCTCTCTCATCACTGATGTTTCTATCTCTCTCTCCCTTTTTCTCTGAAAGCAATAAAGAACATTTTTTTTTTTTTAAAGAAGGGATTAGTTATACTCATGTAGCTTGAATTTTGTTACAGGTATATTTTACTTTTATATTAAAATGTGCATTTTTAATTATTACATCAAATAGTTCATCTGTGAGTCCAATTTTGGGTTCTATGAAGGTAAAGATCATGTTTTGTTTTGCTCTGCCACTGTGCCTCTAGCATGTAAGCCATTGTAGGTGCTGAATAAATATCCACATGAGCTCCACTTGTCAATCTATTCTAAACTAAAAGGTAGTCACCTTCATGTTAATCAGGGACAGGCCAATTAGTTCACAGACTATCAGAGTCACAGACAGTATATAGGCCATAATTTTCCAGCTTGTAAATAGTGCCTGTTAGTGGTTTGTGAAATCAATGTAGTGAGTCATGACTGGCCTTTTAAAAAATAGAATTCAGTAGGAAAGAAACCAGAGTACATTTAATAAGGGTATTGTTTCATGAAATTTTGTTTCCGTTTTGCATAAACTCTGCGGTGATGCAAAATGTATTTCTTAACTCTGGGTTGTGGTAAAAAAAAAAACACAAAAAACTTTGAGAGCCACTGATCTTGTCTAATGCACGTGTGCGCGACACACACAACACACACACAACACACGCCACACCCACACACATACAACACACACACTCACACACATCCCAGCTCTCCAGGCAGATAACAAACCACTTTCAGTTCCCCAGAACACCATGCCATTTTCTACGGTAGAGGACTTGGCACTTCCTGTTCCCTTTACCTGAAATGTACTTGCCCAGCTGTCTGCCGGGAGGGGCAGGGGGCTGGCTCACTCTTCTAGATGCTGCTCAAGTACCTGCTTATGAACCCTCTGTTACCTTCTGAGCAAAGCCAGACTCCCTCCCATGTGCTTCCATCTCCTCTTCTACCTGATTCACTGCAGTGCTGTGCCCCGGACGGTGGTCACTTCCACAGGTGGCTGTCTCTCCTACCAGTGTGGCTCCTGAGAGCAAGGACCCCGTGGTCCTCACCTCAGTGTTGCCAGAGCCCACATGATGCCTGTAGCACTCAATAATGACAGGGAAAAGCCTTATGATGAAGAAAACAGCTCTTCGTCGGCCTGCAGACTGAAGGGTCCCAGGTTCGATTCCAGTCAAGGGTGCATGCCAGGTTGCAGGCTTGATCCCCAGTAGGGGAGGTCCAGGAGGCAGCCAATCAATGATTCTCTCTCATCATTGATGTTTCTATCTCCCTCTCCCTTCCTTTCTGAAATCAATAAAAAAAAAATATTAAAACAGCCCTGACCGGTTTGGCTCAGTGGATAGAGTGTCGGCCTACAGACTGAAAGGTCCCAGGTTCGATTCCAGTCAAGGGCATGTACCTGGGTTGTGGGCACATCTCTAGTAGCAGGTGTGCAGGAGGCAGCTGATCGATGTTTCTCTCTCATCGATGTTTCTAACTCTCTATCCCTCTCCCTTCCTCTCTGTAAAAAAGTCAATAAAATATATTTTAAAAAAATATTAAAACAAAAAGAAAGCATCTCTTTATTAATGAAGTAGAATAGCATCCAAAATTTTCAGCAATAAGTGAAAATAGCAAGGTGCAGTTCAGTAGACATAACACGCTGCCATCGTATCTGTGTGCGCGCTGTGCATTTGATCGTGGGGAATAGCTTTGGAAGAATGCAAAGGAAACTTAACAATGGCTGCCACCCTGGGCATGCCCAGAAGAGAGACTAATATTTCACTGTCTGCCTCTTGATTTTTGTGCTATGTGCAGGGGTAACCTATCACTAAAATTAACTAGTAAATATTTCTCCAAAACATTTCTATAGGCAATGAATATAAGAAAGACAAGATTTATGGCTTCCAAATATCCCATAATGAAGAAAGACATAGATAGTTGTTTTCTATTAACTGACTTTTTAAAATTTATTGAGAGAGAAAGAGAGAGATCAATTTGTTTTCTACTTCTTTATGCATTCATTGGTCAATTCTTGTATGTGCCCTGACTGGGGATCAAACTCACAACCTTGGTGTATGGGGAAAACAGTCTAACCAGCTGAACTACCTGGCCAGGGCTTATTCACTGATTTTTTAGAAAAGGCCTTTATTGTCTGTGAAATTTAAAGGTAAACATAGACCTTTTCTGATTTACAGCAAAAAGGGGAAGTGGCATCTCCCTCTAACCAGGAGAGCAGCCTGGGAGTAAGAAAGGGGGTAGGGGTGGGGGTGGAATTGCAGTTTCTAAGAAATAAGCAAACCTCCAGTCTTTATGGAAAACCACAGATCATTAGGAAGGCCTGACTAATGGACCCTTGGCAGTTGTCAAAGAAGGCAGTTGTAACAAAGGATAAGCTAATTTTGTAACTATCTGGAGAGCAAGGTTCTTCTTCCAACCATTCTCTGGCTGGGCTCTCCAAATACTTCACTTCATTAAAATATTCTTTTATATAAGCCTAATTGTAGGAATTAAAAGAGCTGCTTATTACAGACCTGGGTTTCTATGGCAACAGTAAAATAAATGCCCAAGTGTCTGAAGCATTGAGGAAAATAATGCACATTAATAATAGGTAGCCCTGTGAATCCTTTAATAAAACAACCCGTTGAGAGTCAGCTACTCCACATGTTGTAACAAGAATGGCTGAGGAAACCTGCAAACTTCTAAAAACCCAGCAAAATGTCTCCTGTTAAAGTCGCTGAAATGATTCTGGGTAAAAATATATATATATATATATATATATATATATATATATATATATATATTCATGGTGACTTTAGGAATATCATGGGGATGTTCTAATCACGTCTGTTAGTAAAAGAAAATACTTTCTCTTTTACGTTATATGCTCAAAATCTGTCTCTTGAATTCCCTCCCCCCTCCCCGCCTCTCTCTCTCTCTCTCTCCCTCCCTCCCTCCTTCCCTCCCTCCCCCCCATCTCTTTCTTAAGTGCCTACTGAAATCCTGGCAGGAGTGACTTTGGCCCCAGCCAGGACCTGCCCTGTGGCTCCTGTGGAAGCAGGGAACTCGCCTCCTTCTGCTGCATCTGCCAGGTTCCTCTCCTCAGAACAGAGGATGGACTCCAAACAGGGGGCCCTAAGATGGGTCCTTTCTGATTCATGTTTTCAAACGAAAGTTATTTTCCGAAATAAGTTCTTTTCTTGACTTACTGTAAAGCAAATGGCATAATCCTTTGTAGTAGTTCGCTAGAACCACCATAACCAAGTACCACAGACTGGGCGGCTTAAACAGCAGCAGTTTATTTACTCACAGGTCTGGAGGCTGGAAGTCCAAGCTCAAGTTGCTGGCAGGGGTTGGTTTCTTCTGAAGCCTCTCTCTTTGGCTTGTTGATGGCCATTGTCGGGGAGGAATTAACTTCCCTCCACCCTCAAGGTTCTTTCTGCCGGTCTAATAACCAAATAGACATGAGACAGATTAGTAAGAGGAAATAACCAAATTAAACTGCATGCATATTATGGAAACCCTGCATACGGGAAAGAGTCAAAGACCCCACCTGCAGGGGAGGTTCGGAGACAAAGGGAAATGGGTGTGTGGTGGGCAGTTAGAAGGACGTGAGCAGAGCAGGAGGCTGGACCAGGTGGAGACGGTCACCAGGGTGGAGAGCCCCGGGTGCCCAGCAAAGGACAATTGTAAGGTGGGACCTCGCCCCCCAGGGGGCCTTTCTTCCCCTGGCAGATCGCTGGTCCTGCGGGTTGGACCCCCTGACCTTTCCTCTCTCCAGAGCAGTGGTTCTCGCCTTGGCTGCACGTTAGAATCACCTGGGAATCTTTTTAAAATCCTGATTTCTGGGCCCGAGGCTTTTAAAAAGATTCCCAGGTGATTCTAATGTGCAGCCAAGGTTGACAACCACTGCTCTAGAGATCACATCTAGGGTCGGTTATATTTCAGCTCAGGCCCCGAAAATCAACAAAACCAGCCACAGCTGACCTCAGGACCAGCTGCATTGAAGAATGGCTCCCTGCCCCGTGCTGGCCAATCCATCATTGGGGAGCACGACCCTGACAGGACACACCTGGAAACCTGCTGAATAATCTATTGAGATCGTCCCCTGGTGCCTCCCCTGAAATCTCTGCCCTTAAAACCCTTAGGACCGAGGACCCGGTGCGCTCTCCCTCCCAGGACACGCTGTGCCTTTCCCTTCCTCTTCTTCCTCCTCTAGTTCCAGACGAGCAGGTACAGAGGTTGCTGAACCCAGGCCCCGTCTGACCCCGTGGCTCTAGCACCTGGTGCCATTCCCGTACCTACAACAGGTAAATAAAACATCCTGAGCTAGGAACAGGGGTAACGCATCCTGGGGCTGCAGAAGGTCATTGCCCGGAGAGCACAAGTTCAGTAATTAGTAGTTTGCCCTGCCCTCTAGATAGGCCAAAAAGGTTATCTCACCCTGGCCGGCTTGGCTCGGTAATTAGAGCATTGGGCCTCAGACCAAAGGGTCTCAGGTTCAATTCCTGGTCAAGGGCACGTACCTCGGTCGCAGGCGTGATCCCCGAGATCCTCAGCTGGGGTCAAGGCGAGTGTGAGAGGCAACCAATCATGTGTCTCACATCAATGCTTTCCCTCCCCCTCCTCCCTCCCTTCCACTCTCTCTAAAAATCAATGGAAAAATGTCCTCGGGTGAGGATTTCTTTAAAAAAGGTTCTCTCCGATAATCTCATCATGGGCAAGGTCCCCAATTTAAGCTCGAGGGGCAAAAGTTTCTCTTGAGCCCGAAGCTAAAGCTTCCTTTTCCTCCCCCTGGGCTTTCTCAGTTCTAGTTACCTTTAGTTCAAAGCAATCCACGCCTGTTGACATTCTGAACCCCCACACCATTTTCTCCTCCCAACAGAACTTGTGTCTTCACATTCCCTTCCCTCTGTGTATGTCAGTGTCCCAATCTCCTCCTCTTATAAAGGCACAAGTCACGCTAACTGGTTTGGCTCAGTGGATAGAGTGTCAGCCTGCGGACCGAAAGGTCCCAGGTTCGATTCCGGCCAAGGGCATGTACCTTGGTTGCGGGCACATCCCCAGTGGGAGGTGTGCAGGAGGCAGCTGATCGATGTTTCTAACTCTCTATCCCGCTCCCTTCCTCTCTGTAAAAAACCAATAAAATACATTTAAAAAAATATATAGGCACAAGTCATGTTGGATTAGGACCCACTCCAATGAACCCATTTTAACTCCACTACCTCTTTAAAGACCCTGTCTCTGTATATAGCTGCCTTCTGAAGTACTAGGGCTAGGACTTCAGCACAGGGATTGGAAGGGTGGGGACGATTCAGCTCGGAACAGGAAGCAGGCTCCTGTACAATAGGACTTTGTTGTCCTTCCCGGCAAGGTGAGCACCATCCAACATGACTGGTGCCTTTATCCGAAGAGGGGGTTAGGATTCAGACACACACAGAGGGACTACACCACGTCACCACGAAGACGGCCTATCTACAAGCCAAGGAGCGGGGAAGGGCCCGAGAAGAAACCAGTCTCACCAACACCTTGAACTTGGACTTAATAGCTATTAAGAAGAAATCTTCTCCATAACTATAAGAAGATTCCTGTTGTTTAAGCCACTCGGTCTGTGGTATTTTGTTATGGCTGCCCGAGCAGTCTAATACACTTAGAGAGCTGGGAGAAATTATTGCAGCTACCTTTTTCCACAATCTGCCACACCCCAAGACCTTAAGTCCCTGGTGGTTTGGGGTTCTGTTGTTCTTGGGCATCTTCAGCATTCAATAAATATTGCCCGTCCTGGCCCGGTGGCTCAGTGGATTGGCACGTCTTCCAGTACAGTAAAAGGTTGTGGGCTCCATTCCTGGTCAGGGCACATACCAAGGTGTGCCGCGCCAGCACGGCCAAGGGTGAGCCTGAGGGGAGGTGGTGAAGGATTTAGAAAAGACAGACAAGAAGATAAAGCTGGGGCTCGGTGGGACCCTGCTTCTCTGATGGAGAGACAGCGACCCAGCCTGTCAGCCGAGTCTTTATTTTATAGCCAGATTCCACGAGTTAAAAAGTAAGGGTGTGGTCAAGATGTTAACAATGTTCTAATCTACTCAGTTCCCTGCACCTGAACTCTATCAAGCCCACATCACTCAGCCACGTGGGCCCACAGGTTCGGACCATAAGGTCAAGCTGACAACTACAGCCTTTGGCTATCATTGTGCTGGGAGGGCTTTGCCCTCCAAGCTGGGACTTGCACGTGGCTTTGCCACCAGAAGACTGTGCCCTCTCATTAGTCCGAGGCTTGAACCTGTCCAAACACTGTAGCCGCTCTCCACACCAAGGTTGTGGGTTTGATCCCTGGTCAGACACATACAGGAGACAATCAATCAATGTTTCTCTCTCTCTCTCCCTTCCTCTCTCTAAAGATCTATTAAAAAAAACATATCTTTGGGTGAGGATTAAAGAAAAATTTTAAGGTAGTTTTAAATAAATAAATAAATATTGCCTGTTTTTAGCCTTGTTTTTCAAGGCAAGAGAAGAAAGAGAAGCCAGAGAAGATGGCGAAGGATCAGAGAGCTATGGGAGAAACAGATGAATGTTGATGTCATGGTGTTACCCACGGTGTTGGCTGTGAAACTAGACTTCAGTTCTTGAGTTTGGCAAAGGAAGACTTCAGAGCCAAGAACTCAAATGATAAGAGGAAGTTTATTTAGAAAGTTACAGAGGTAGTTCAGGTGAGCCAGCGGGGCTTCGTAGGCGCAGGACACGGTTATGGAAGCAGAGGAGGGCCCTTGGACGGGAAGGGGAGAGGCCACGGTGAGGTACCAGGGGAAGAAGAGGGGATGGGAAAGGCGCAGGCATGTCCCCCAGAGGGGGCGGGAGGGAGAATGTGCGCGGGTGTCCTTCCTGAGGGTTTTAAAGGCTGGGGGTTTAAGGGAGGATCTCAATAGAATAGTCATCAGCTTTGTGCTGATGCACCAAAATGAGATTTATTCCCCTGACTTCACCCACTCTTGGCTGTGATTGGCACAGATGACGCTAATTGGATTACTGTTACCTATCTCCCTGAGTAGGGTGATTTACGCTATTTACCCTCTCGGTGGGGAAGAGAAGTGTAAACCACTTACTCTTAACTGTCCTGGGTTAGGGAAGACAGGATTTTGCGATTCACTAGATGGCTGTAAACTGGCCACTAAACTATCTGTCTCAGTTTCCCTACTCTACTTGTCCCGGCTTGTTAGCTTGTCTTGATGGAAGCCACAGGAAGAGAGAAACTTGGCAAAGAGGTCTTTGGAGATCTCAGATCTCAAGGAGGATGGGGACTGAGAGTGGATTTGACAACGGTGATTGACACACCCAACAGGGAGGGGCTGGGATTGGTTGCAGGGAAAGAAACAGCATTGATCAAGGAGATCTTTACATTCTTACCATATATTTCTGCTGCTTTGAAATATTTTACTGTAAGATATATCTATATGTAAAAAATGTTGTTAACATGCCCTGGCTGGGTAGCTCAGTTGTTAGAGCATCATCCTGATATGCCAAGGTTATGGATTCGATCCCCTGTCAGGGCACATACAGAGATCAACCAATGAATGTATCAATAAGTGAAACAACAAATAGATGTTTCTGTCTCTCAAATCAAGAAATAAAAATTTAAAAAAATTTTTTGTTAACATATAGTGATTTTTAAAGCAATACAGTCAAAGTCCTCTCTGGGCCTATCCTTGGGAAGGATACTTCTAGGAGTGTAGTGCACATCCTCATATATTGCTGGGGAATACAAAATGGCACAACCCCATTAGAGGCAATTTGGCAAAAAAAAACTATCAAAATTACAAACGCAGTAAATTACATCTCAATAATGTTTTAAAAATATGACCAGTGCATTAACCCTTTTGATATATTTACACAAATGCAAAATGGCACTATATACAAGGATATTTGCTGCAGCTTCATTTGTTATAGAAAAAAATCTGGAAATAATCCAAGTGTCTCATAATTTGGGGTGGTTAAATAAACTGTGCTACAGCCACACAATGGAATCTTGTGCTGCTGTTAAAAAAAAAAGAATGAGGAAGCTCTCCTTGTGCTTGATATGGAAAGATTTCCAAGGTAGATTAAGTGAAACAAACAAAGTACAGAGCAGTTGTATGCTCCGTCTACGTAAACAAGGAGGCAAAAAACCCCACACTGATATCTATAAGTATAATATATATTGTGTGTGTGTGTGTGTATATATATATATATTTAATTTGCTTATATTTGTATAAAGAAACTGGAGGGTTAAGAAACGAAATTGGTTATCTGGAGAGCAGGGTGTAGAGAGGGTGGGCTTAGTCTAGGTTTTTATTTACTCATATATACAGTGTCATTAGATCCCATAGCAAATGTGAGGCCAGTGTTCTTTTCCCCATTTTACAGATGAAGATCAGAAAGATGAAGTCATCGACTGCCCCGTTTACCAGGTTACACAGCTGGTAAATATGGAGCCAGAGTCCAGCCTCGCTCTGCCTAACTCCAAAGTCTACCCGGTAGCATCATTCGAACTGTCCCCTGGGTAAATACCAGGGGCCCTGGTCTTCAGATTTATGGTCTGAAATAAATAGCATCCAAGGCAGAATCATCAAAAGTCATGGTCAAATATATTTAGGGTGTTTATACAAATACAAGGGGCGAGAGACTGGGAGGTATTTTTTAGTCAAATGGGCTGGCTTTACTGGCTGTTCGTGTGTATTTGTTCCTTTGTTGACTTGCTGGCTTTTTAGATGTCTGTTTTGGAAGAAATGAGTGGAGGAGGGGAAAGATGATCCACTTTATGAGGCACATACCGTTCTCTTAGGCAAGTAATTATTTTATGGAGGCTTTGGAAGTTTAGAGTTTATGCTGTTTAGCTCCCAGCCATGTTGTCCAAGAAAGTGACTGGAGAGAGAGGAAGGGAAATGAAAGGTGAAGGGGAGTCCCTTGCTGGAGAGGCTTCTGCTGTCCCCGCTGCCAAATCTCCCGGCCGGCCGGCCGGGAGGACTTGCTGTCTGAGCAGGAACAGAAGAATCTGGAGTTCATCCACTGCGTGAAGGCGCTGGCAGCCGGTTCAATTACACTGTGTGTTCTAGATCTTTTCTGAACTAATTGTGTTTTTCCCTGTCATGAGGAAATCTCTCTTAAGCCGGATTTATTTTCTAAGTGGAAATATCCAGGCCTGGGATGAAGAAGTAGCTCTTGCTCTGAGCATTCCAGATCCTAACATCCATCAGTCACGTGGTTGTCACTTCTGTGTCCTTCAGAGGGGTTCTAATGAGAGGTCTATGGATGGCAAGGATTTTTTCTTTTTACATGTTATTTATTTATTTATTTATTTTAATATATTGTTATTAACTTCAGAGAGGAAGGGAGAGGGAGAGAGGAGATAGAAACACCAATGATGAGAAAGAATCGTTGGTCGGCTGCCTCCTGCATGCCCCACACTGGGGATTGAGCCTGCAACCCGAGGATGTGCCCTTGACCGGAATTGAACCCGATACCCTTCAGTCCGCAGGCCGATGCTCTATCTACTGAGCCTAACCAGCTAGGGCGGATTTTTTCTTTTTTAAGTTTAATGAAAGGGAGTATAATAATATTCTATCATGTGGATAGCTCAGAGTAGAAAGTAGAGAGTTTTCTCTTTGGATGGCTCTCCCCTTTCATTGCAGCTGCAGTGGCAGTAGTTTGCCATGATGCCAGCATGGGCCAAAGTCACAAGTCCTTTCCCAGGACTTTTTCCAAATGGAAAACTAGAGACTGGTTGCTTCTTCCCGAGGCTGGTGACTCCTGTCCCCATCACAGTAGCTTACAATGCCAGGACCACACAAAATTGTTGCCCTAATTTCCAAGCGCCTTATGAATGCTTTGCCTTTGTCTCGCAGCAAAGCTGACCTCCCAGCTTGCCCCATGGGCCCTCGGTGCTCCCAGCATGACCAGGCCAGACTTCGTGATGCTTTTGTTCTGGAGACCAACCCTCTCCTCGGCTCATCACAACTTACAGAAAACGCAGCGAACGTTAGTCACAACACTGAGAACGTCAATACAGAGTTAAACTTTTCCTCTTTGCGCTCTGACGGAGAAATAAGAACCATTGTGATCTGCAACACTTCAAAAAGAATTAGCGCTCCCTGGGTAATAGAATAAGTAAGTAAAATGCCCAGATCCCCAGTCACTGTTAGCATCAAAGCCAAGGCTTGGCTGTGTTGGCTGGTAAAATGGTTTATTGGCTGAGTGAAGGGGTCTCATCATTTTCCTTGGTTGGCGCGCAGTTCATTAGTGTCACCACTTACCCATTCATCATCCATTCACACTTACTGAGGGCAGGCATTGTACGAAGCACTGGGAATACAAGAGGACAAGACAGAATCAATCCCTGGCCTCGAGGAGCTGTTGACAGTCCAGCTGTGTTCCCTCCCCTCATCATTCTCATGGCCTTTTAGATGCTCCCTCCTATCTGACCTTCATGCACACAGCTGTAAGCAGCATTGCTTCCCTGGTCTCTATAAATGCCAGTTATCACTGGAGAACTCTTAGTACATCAGCTTCCAATGTAGGCAAGTAATGAAATCTAAAAATAATCATCATAGTGTGGTTTGAAATGCATCTGTTATTTGAAAAACAACTTAATTGAAAGTCACATCATATCTGAGCTGGGAAGAAACTAGCTTATTGTTTTTGATAACAGCTTTTTTGAGATATAATTCAATCACCCTACAATTTACCATTTAAAGTGTACAAGTCAGTGGTGTTTAGTATATTCACAGAGTTGTGAGTATAGCCATACCACAATCAATTTCAGAACATTATCATCACCCGAGAGAGAAACCCCAGCCATACCCATTAGCTAACCTATCAATCTACTTTCAGTCCTTACAGATTTAGGTAGTCTGTATATTTCACATAAATGAAATCATAACATATATGACCTTTTGTGTTGGGCTTCTTTCATTTAGCATAACATTTTTATGGCTTATCCATGTTGTAGCATGTGTCAATACTTCATTTCTTTTTATGGTTGAATAATATTCTATTATGTGGTATTTCAGATCTTAATTACCCATTTATTAGTCAATGGTATATTTCAATTTACATGGGAAAGAAGTGAAGCAAATAAATGGCTGGTTCGAGACCATTCAAAGCCAAGTGCTCATCCCATTAAATCCATTAGGTCCCATAATTTAAAAGGACAAGTTCATTTCTACGTTCAAAACACATACCTAAGAGAGTCTGCAATAGGGAATGAAGCTAAGAAATGCAACATAAATAAGTTCAGGAGAGAACCAAGATGGTGGCATAGGTAAACACCAGAGATTGCTGCCTCGCACAACCACTTCAAAAATACAACTAAAAGACGGAACGGACATCACCCAGAACCACAGGAAAGCTAGCTGAGGGGAAATTCTTCAACTAGAAGGAAAGAGAACAGCATACCGAGACTCAGAGGAGGTGCAGTGCAGAAAATACAAAGGTGCAGAGGTGCACGCGGAGCGGGCTGGCGGCTGAGGGCGCGGTTGTCGTTTTCAATCCGGAGGGAGGCTCAGGCCCTGAGCTCCAGTTCTGGGTGAGTCTCTAGGGACCCAAACTCAAATGGGAGAAGCGGGACTGTCTGACATCAGTCGGAACGCGAGGGCAGCTTTCTCTCCGAGGTTTGCAGTGGTTGCTGGGACTCTGAGAGGCAGAGCCTCTGGGGACGGGACTGAGAGCAGCCATAACTGCTCCCTCTGCCAGCCCTGTTGATCCCGTGCCACCCGACCCGCCCAAGCCCTGAACAGAGACATTTGCCGGATAGCCTCAGGCAAAGGCTAGATTAGCACCTCCCCAGAGGACAGAAGTTTTCCCACTACAGACACAGCTGACTCTCACAGCCAGCTGGCCTGGAGGTCAAATCCCCCCAGTATTAACTACAACAATCAAGGCTTAACTACAACAAAACTGTGCGCAAAGACCACTAGGGGGTGCACCAAGAAAGCATAAAAAAAATGCGGAGACAAAGAAACAGGACAAAATTGTCAATGGAAGATATAGAGTTCAGAACCACACTTTTAAGGTCTCTCAAGCACTGTCTAGAAGCTGCCGATAAACTTAATGAGATCTAAAAGAAATTTAATGAGACCCTCGATGTTATGATAAAGAACCAACTAGAAATTAAGCATACACTTACTGAAATAAAGAATACTATACAGACTCCCAACAGCAGACCAGAGGAGCGCAAGAATCAAGTCAAAGATTTGAAATGCGAAGAAGCAAAAAACACCCAACCGGAAAAGCAAAATGAAAAAAGAATCCGAAAATACGAAGATAGTGTAAGGAGCCTCTGGGACAGCTTCAAGCGTACCAACATCAGAATTATAGGGGTGCCAGAAGATGAGAGAGACCAAGATAGTGAAAACCTATTTGAAGAAATAATGACAGGAAACTTCCCCCACCTGGTGAAAGAAATAGACTTACAGGTCCAGGAAGCGCAGAGAACCCCAAACAAAAGGAATCCAAAGGGGACCACACCAAGACACATCATAATTAAAATGCCAAGAACAAAAGACAAAGAGAGAATCTTAAAAGCAGCAAGAGAAAGAAACTCAGTTACCTACAAGGGAATACCCATATGACTGTCAGCTGATTTCTCAACAGAAACTTTGCAGGCCAGAAGGGAGTGGCAAGAAATATTCAAAGTGATGAATGCCAAGAACCTACAACCAAGATTACTTTATCCAGCAAAGCTATCATTCAGAATTGAAGGTCAGATAAAGAGCTTCACAGATAAGGAAAAGCTAAAGGAGTTCATCACCACCAAACCAGGATTATATGAAATGCTGAAAGGTATCCTTTAAGAAGAGGAAGAAGAAGAAAAAGGTAAAGATACAATTTATGAACAACAAATATGCATCTATCAACAAGTGAATCTAAGAATCAAGTGAATAAATAATCTGACGAACAGAATGAACTGGTGATTATAATAGAATCAGGGACATAGAAAGGGAATGGACTGACTATTCTTGGGGGGGAAAGGGATGTGGGAGATGCGGGAAGAGACTGGACAAAAATCGTGCACCTATGGATGAGGACAGTGGGTGGGGAGTGAGGGTGGAAGGTGGGGTGGGAACTGGAAGGAGGGGAGTTATGGGGGGAAAAAAGAGGAACAAATGTAATAATCTGAACAATAAAGATTTAATTAAAAAAAAAGAAAAAAAAAAGAAATGCAACATAGCTTCTAAGACTGTCTCCTCGTTATTTTCTATTGTTATTTATATGGGTTTTTTCTCACTTTTTAGGGAAAAAGGAATTTTGAGAGTGAAACAAATCAATAAAGACTGGTTCTTTGTAGAACATAACTCACCGTTATCCCTGCCCCTTTCTCTGATTTGATGTCTCTCTTCTCTGCTGTTGTCTGTGTACCAGCCATAGGTGAGTAGAATGGGCCAGTCGCCCAGGAAATTACAAAGATTTATGAGAGGTCTGTGTCAGGAACCAGGGGCAGAGACTAAGATGTATTTTCTGTTACCACACAATGTCCCACGATCATGTCTGAAAGCAACTAGAAGCAACACATCAAGGCATGTTAATAAAGAACTGGAGAGAACTGCAGCCCAGATATGGGAGAGGGTGGGCGACCAAGGTTACCTGTAAGGGTGAATGAACCAAAAATAACCGATAAAAGTTGCAGAATACTACAGAAAGTATGATTGCATGGGCTTAACATTTTAAAGCTATATGTCTCCAGGGATATATTCATTTTTAGATAAACATAAAGAAAGTTACGGGAATGGTAAACATTAAATCCTAGATTGTTGCTAATTCTGGGTGACAGAGAAGCAATGCCTTCAGGAAGAGACACAAGGGAATTCAACCATGCTGGGAGTTTTCTTTCCAAAGCAGAGTGATGGGAAATGAGTGTCGCACTGTCTGCTCACAGCAGTGTTTTCTAAAGCATTTTCTTTAAATGTATTTTTATTGGTTTCAGAGAGGAAGGGAGAGGGAGAGAGAGACAGAAACATCAATAAGAATCATTGATCAACTGTCTCCTGCACGCCCCCCGCCCCCACTGGAGATTGAGCCCGAAACCTGGGCATGTGCCCGGATGGGGAATCAAACCATGACCTCCTGGTTCACAGGTCGACGCTCAACCACTAAGAAACGCCAGTTGTTTCCAACCATGTTTTCTTTTTTAGTTTATCAGTTTTAATGAATGACCAATAAAGTAAACATTGGTAGATATAATCCACATAGTTTGTTTCATGTGCCCACTTAGCTTTTTAATGTGGTAACATAAAATAGACCATATTTGTGAACCCTAAGGGAAAAGCTGGAAACCCCACAGAACTACCTTTCTTCAGTGGATAGAGCGGCTGACTTAGTGGCTTCAAGAGCCTGTACACTGACTACATTAAGCGACCTGCGGAAGGTAAGAGTGCAAATGAGACGTAATTGTGGGAAACTGTTTATTGCCTTCACTATCTGATAAGCATAGACAGAGAACTCCCCGAAACCCCCCCCCCCCCCCCAAGGCTGGGTGCCTTTGAAGCCCTAGCAAAGCTCGGAGCTAGGCACCACCTCTGTTTGTCCAGACAGTGGTAGCTGAAACTACTCCCCCATTTATTATTATGTAAATCCTTGCTGATGGGCTAGTCTGCTTGTTACTAGGGGGTCACCTGCCTAAGGGCTATGCTATGGGTGCATCCCAGATCAATAAAAGCTTGGTGAGGCCTGAGCAAGGGAGAAGTCCTTCGGGAATTGCCGCCTGGTCCCCCAATATTGCAAAATTATCTTGTGTCTTTTTCTCTCATTTGTTGTGCGGCTCCTCTTTCAGATACCGAACCCTACTCCACGCAGAACGTGGAAGGAGTCTCACTCAACAGTAATGAAGACACTTCTTACGTTTAAGAAAGCTACCGCTAGATTTTTATTTTACATTTACTCTCTATGTATACTTGTGTTTTTTTTCTCTAAATATTTAATTTAAAAAATTAAGAAAAGGCTACAAAGGAGAAATAATTTTATTTTCTTTGCTGCTTTCTGGGCTGATGCTAATCCAGAAATTTAGCAGATCACAATGACTTACATGGTAAGGAAAATGTATTTCACGTAACAGAAAGCCCCAGTCACGGGTGGCATTTGTGGCGTTGCATAATGACGCCTTCAAGGACTGGCTGGCCTTCCTCTTCCTCCTCTGCCCTCCTCAGCTTGTGTCCTCACGGTCACAGCATGGCTGTCATAGCCCCAAAGCTCCGGCTCTCATACAACTGTGCTCAAAGGCAAAAAGAAGTTCTGGCTTTCAAGTGTTTTTTTAAATTTTATTTTAGGGAGAAAACTCTTTCCAGAAGTAGCCTGTGGACTCCCTTTGGCCAGCGTGGGCTCACACCGCCATGCGTTAGATGCAAGAGAGGCTGGTGAGTCGCTATCTGACACCCCCTGCCTTTGTAGAGAGAGGTGGCTCTTCCAGCCAGGAACGCACACGGGGAATGGCTCTGGGCCTGGCCACCAGCTCACCAGCCCAGGCAGCAGGTCACCAGACAGGTCTGTCCAGACAGACCCTATGCCTTTAACCTCTGCTCCCTGATGTCACCTTTAAGATTCTCCCAGCTCTTACATTGCCTTTCCTTCACAAACAATAAGTCACCACACCCCAAACTCACCCTATACCTTCCTGCCTCCCGTCCTTTACATGCAGTTCCCTCAGCCTGGGGTGCGGTCCCCTTCCACATCTGCTTTCAGCCATGGCGTTCACTCTCAAAGATGCCACACAAGCACCACTGTCCCAACAAAGCCTTCCAAAAACTGGCCGAACTTTGCAGCTCCTCCCTCTGGTCTCCCATAGCACTAGGAAACTCCCCCGCCCGCCCGGGGTCTGTCTCAAAGGCTCAACAAGTGTGGGGAATTAAACTGAACTGTTTTGCCTTTGGGCTGCAGAATAAAGTGTAATAGAAAGCAGGTTTCCCCTCCTGTAGGATAGAATTTGGAGGGATTTGAGGGAGTACACTACAGAGCTACTTCAAAGGTTAATTCTGTCCTTTTACTGTCCCACACTGTGCTTTCATTTTTAGAAGATTTTGTTTTGGTCTTGCCCAAGTCATTTAAGAAGTTTACCTAATTTATTTTCCTCTCCCAAATTATTTGAATGACTGTTTTAACCCTTTCAAATTATTTAACTTCTAAGCACTGGTCTCCATGGATTTTTAAACTGCTTCTTAAAATTAGTAAAATGCTAATAATTGCTGAATCTGGGTGATAGATACATAGGAATGCATTACACTACTTTTGTGCATGTTGACAATTTCCATAAATAAATTTAAAATTGTTTCTCCATGTTTAAAAACCTTTGAAGCCCATGGCTATGTATTTAGGAGAAAGTATAGTGGACATTCAAATGTCGCACATGGGGAATTAGTTTCCAGGCCATCAGTTCAGATACAAAGTCTGCCGGCCTTTTGCATTCCCAGATTTAATGTGTCATGAAGTTTTATTCTTCCGTGTACTGCTGGGGGAAAAATAAAAGTGCCAATGTAGTGTGTGAACATCTACCAGCTCATTGGTGTATTAAAGCTTTTTTTTAAAAAAAATTTATCTTTATTGTTGGGAGTATTACAGATGTCCTCCATTTCCCCCCATTACCTCTCTCCACCTGGGTCCTGTCCCACCCCAGGCCATCACATACCATTGTCTGTGTCCATGGCCTATCCATATATGTCTATACATTGAGTGGCCAGATTATTATGGCCACCTGACATTTGTAGGCAAATTAGCCATACACTGCATCGTATGGGATATGGAAGCCGAAGGCCTGTTCAAACACCTTTGCTGTCTGCAGTTACCAAGATAAAACGCCTCCAGTTCGCACAGGGACACAAGGATTGGACAGTCGAGCATTGGAAAGAAGTCATGTGGTCCAATGAATCACGTTTCCAGTTGTATCATGCAGATGGCAGCGTGAGAATTTGGGGGAAACAGCATGAAAGCATGCACCCCACATGCATGAGTACAACCCTTCAAGCTGGTGGGGACAGTGTTATGGTTTGGGGCATGTTTTCCTGGCATAATATGGGCCCTTTAATTCATGTGGAACAACGTCTGAATAGCACAACATACCTAAGTATCGTTGCTGGTCAAGTTCATCCTATCATGTTGATGGCGTATCCCAATGGAGATGGCTTCTTCCAACAAGACAGTGTGCCATGCCACAGTGCTCATATTGTGCAGGAGTGGTTTCAAGAACATGAGGGAGACTTTACCTTGCTGAGGTGGCCCCCACAATCACCAGATCTCAATCCAATTGAGCATTTGTGGGACGAAGTTAAAAGAGCCATCAGGCAGCTGGTTCCACAACCATCAAATCTCACAGAACTGGACAGTGCTATTCATCAGGCATGGTGTCAGAGTCCTCGCATCACCTTTCAACATCTCGTGGAGTCAACGCCAAGAAGAATCGCCACAGTATTGAAGGCAAAAGGTGGCCCAACAAAGTACTGATGGGGTGGTCATAATAATCTGGCCACTCAGATTATTATATATCCCATGTTCAAAGGCTGTTAAATCGCGTTGTTTACCCATATCTGCAGAAAAAAAATTGCTTCTACTGTCGTGGTAAACAACCTGCTTCCCTATTTATAATGGTCTGGCCCTCTAGCAACTTCAGCACGAAATTATAGCTAATTTGCCTTCAAACGTCAGGTGGTCATAATAATCTGGCCACTCAGTGTAATGGCCAGTATTATGATAGGCAAAAATCCTAGACTAGAATTCAAATCCTGTATTTTTAAAAAAATACTTTTTGGTGATCTTTTAGAGAGGAAGGGAGAGGGAGAGAGAAAGAGAAACACCGAAGTGACACATCCGTCGGCTGCCTTGTGCACGCCCCCCGCCCCCCCCCCCCCCCCACCAGGGATGGGAGCCTACAACCCAGGCATGTGCCCTGACTAGGAATCAAACCAGCAGCTGTTCGTTGCATGGGACGGAGGCTAACCAACTGAGTGACACCAGCCAGGGCCAAATCGTGTATTTTTTCAATACTAGTTCTATTACTTGCTAGCCAGAAGAACTTAGTTTTCTGATTTCTAAAATGGAATATTAATGGTTGCCCTGACTTTATTCAGTGAATTGCTGTGAGGACCAATTTAAATAATGTAGATAGAAAATGTAAGTCATTGGTCCTGGCCAGTGTGGCTCAGTTGAGGTCGTCCCATGCACCAAAAGGTTGCTGGTTCAGTTCCCAGTCAGGGCACATGCCCAGGTTGCGGGTTTGGTCCCTGCCGCGGGGTGCAGATAGGAGGCAACCCACAGGTGTTTCTCTCTCTCTCTCTCTCTCTCTCTCTCTCTCTCTCTTCCTCTCCCTTCCTCTCTCTCTAATGTCAAATAAAAAACATTTTAATAATGTAAGTCATTGGACAATTGCACTGATTTTAAAATTGTAAAAGTTCCCATTGAATAAATAAAAAGGTGGCTGGTGCCAAGGAAGGAAAAGTTCTGTATGAGGTGACTCCTGGAGTTCAGAGACAAAATAAAACTTAAGAGGAGTGTGATGGTTAATTTCATGTGTTGATGGAGAACCCTGACTAATACAGAGAGGAAATTTTCTCACTGGGACTGAATGCTTTATTTTACTGTGCTCCTCTGTATTGTAGGCCAGCATTTCAGAAAAGATATCCTCTTGGCATAGTTTCCAGTGTTTGGGGATGATTGTATATAATCAATACAAGACTAAAAATGTGCTGTATGTGTTGGCCTCTTAGCATCTTGATGTCTTTCATAAGACATTTTCTGGACATAATAATGATAAAGGAAACTTGCAGTAGTCTTGTCACAGTTATGTACTGACGCATTCAGCAGAGTGCAAAATGTCTGGGAAAAGCAAAAGTACCCATGAAAGATATGAAGAGATCAAAATGTTACGACAGTACGGGACAAAAATAGAAATGGAAACCACAGACTTTCAAAATACACTGTTATCAAAAACAAATGTTTGTAGCAGCACTAGTGGTGCCTGCTACAGGTGGTTTCCATGAGAGGAAGGAGGACATACGTGGTTTCAAAACAAACACTTCAGAAGATAATGAAATGGAGCATTTAGGGGGAGGGTTGGTCAGAAGATGTGAAACAACAAGTGGAAGGGATTTGGTGTTCTGCCATTTGGATTAAAAATACTGAGACACCACCCGGCTGGTGTGGCTCAGGGGTTGAGTGTCAGCCCATGAACCAGGAGGTCACGGTTCGATTCCCAGTCAGGGCACGTGCCTGGGTTGCGGGCTCCGTCGTCAGTAGGGGGCATGCAGGAGGCAACCCATTGATGATCATCGATGTTTCTATCTCTCCCTCTCCCTCCCTCTCTCTGAAATATATATATATATATATATATATATTTAAAACAATACTTAAAAAAATACTGAGACACCATTGTCTGAGTACCAAGTAGAGTGTCCATCCCTCACTGTAGTAAAACCTACTCTCTCAATTCTGTGTTCATTCATTCCATAAGAGTCACCCACGTAACAGGCACTGAGAGGTTTTCACCGGTGAACTTGGGCAGTTCATCAGCTGCTCACTAGGCACCAGAAAAGTCACAGTCAGGTCTGCACGGGCCTTCAGATAACCTTGTCAGGTTTGGAAATGGCCATGACTGAAATAGAGCCATTCTGATGCTAGGAAATTGACCTGTCTACTCAAGTGAAAACCAGTGTTGAGGAGGTGTTTAAAACTCTATGAATACACTAAAAACCAATGACTGGTACACTTTAAATGGGATTGGATGGCATGTGAATTATATCTCAATAAAGCTGTTACCAAAAAAAAAAAAAAAAGGGAGAAAAAGGCAGGGTTTACAGGCAAAGACCCCATGACTCAGAGGCTGTGGGGCAGCTAGGAGATTGTGTCTGTCCGTTAAATTCGTCTGTACAAAATGTGAAGCCAAGGTTTATTGATTGATTTGTTTAACGTCTGGGCTCCAACACGCAAGTGCTATGATAAGAGAGTTTGTAGAAGCAAAATTGTGAAGCCATAAAGCCACGTGTGCCTTGGCGCTGGGGAAAGAGGTTAGCAATCCACATATGAGAAGTCTGAACCTGGCGGTGACCGGAAGCCAAGCGCCGTTCAAATAAACAGGCCAATGCTGGGTTTCAGATTCAGAACGTGAACCCCTTTCGGACTGGGCTTCTTGAGGGTGTGTCTGTCCATCCCTCAGTCACACAGAGCCTCATCCATGTCCCTTCCTTCCTCTTCCATGAACCCATGACCTCCTTCCCTCACCTTTCCCGAGGAGCCCTGAGTGCCGGGGGGGGGGGGGGGGCGGCAGGGGGGGGCCTCCAGGACGGATGTAATTCCGCATGTGAACACGTGTCCTCTGCTTTCTTCCCGAGGAGTTGTTACAGTTATTTCTGCTCCCTTCCCGAGGAGTTGTTACAGT